GATTACTAGATTGGGGATGGTCTGGTATATATAAGATGGTCACAACGTGACGAGACAGTGTGTAGTTAGTGAGTAATTGAACTGCAGTCAGAGAGTATTGTTGAAGTTAACGTTCATTGTTATAGCATTTGTTATAGCGCAGCTGTTGAAATTAAGTGTATCGTAAAGTTGTATTCGGAAAGAATAAAACAGTGTCGCCAAAGTTTCGTCGGAACGAAGTTACGGAAAATTAACTAACGAACGGAGGCGTATTACTATTTAAGAGAAAAAATTGCACGTGATGGGAACTGTATATCTTTGATATTGGGTTTTAGAGTTTCGATAAATATGTATATCATTCAAATGCATTCGGTTGCAGACCTGTCAAAATGTTCATAATACAAATGTTTCATGCTCATATGAAAACTATACTTTAGTGGTTTAAAAAAACTGACCTCCCACGTCTATCACTTTAAAAAAAACTTGACCCTTACTTAGCAATTTTTCCTGGTTTAAATTGTTTTTTCGATATCATAAATGTGAAAAAATCCTCAATTCTTTTGAAGTTACGATATAGTTTAATAAAGGAATGGCAAACGTAAAGAAAGAAAGTAAAAGTTTCTAAAATCTTACTTTAAGCTGTCAAACATATCCATAATGGTATTTGGTCTGAGCTAACCTGCTGTAATGTTGGTAAAGTTCTTATTCTAAATATTTTTGGTCATATTTAGAACTTAAAAAATTGGGCCTTATTTTTTATGAATAAAACATTTGTTTAATATTGCTACATTTTTGAAGGTGCCACTTCTACTTAGCGATTACAAAAAAGGCTAGTAATAATCAGCTAACTTTGATTTTGCTTGACTTACCTTGTTTGAGTAATTAATGTAGTAGAGTATTAAACTATGTTGTATTACAATGATTTTGAAGCCTTACCACTTAAATGCATTCCTTGTGTCCACATCTGGTTTTGCTCTTTGATGACTATGCAGTTTACTTTCCATTGGAAAAGATTTGTAAGACTGTCATCTCCAAAGCACACCACTTTCTGAATACTTTACTTAATTCAGCTACTGTACGAGGATGATGCTTTCCCAGGCTTATTTCAATAGTCCAGTTGCACACAAATCCATTAACACTGCATCCAGCAACTTGACTAGAAAGTCTTGTTATGGAATAGCATGATTACCCATTTCATTCTCCAGCTGCTTGAGATATGTGACTGAAAGCCTTATCTTGGCAAACTTATGAACCTATACCCTGTTGGTCTTATTTTCTGATGGAGGTCCTTCTTGATTATGTTGTGTATTATTTTCTGGAGCATGTGGATGCTTTTTTGGTTCAAGGACTCTCACTAATTGCTTACCAGTTACCTTGGCTGGGGTATGACTTGTTGTGGGTCTCTTTCGAGATGATCCTGGTACCCAGTTTGATCCAGTTCTTTTGTTTTCCAATGCCTTTAAGTATAAGGGATATCCTCGTCTGGAAAAATTCTAAATCCCCAATCTACACATCTTTATGATCTGGTATATGCCATTACATTGGAAATTTATAACAGCTATAGTTGTCTTGTGAATTGCTGATTTGCGTGTTCGAAATCGTTTTGATATAATAGACTCAACCCTTTGCAACTGTATATAGGGTTTCATTTTTCTTTGCTTTAAATACTAATTAGTTACTAACACTTAATGTTTTTGTGATATTTTGTTTGAAGTAACTAAGAGTAACCAAGGTTTTGTTACAAACTTTTGCAATGTCTGTTTAACAATCTTTAAAATATATGTATGATTATTTGGAAAGTAATGTATATCTCATGTTACTTTAATCTTAAATTTTTTCCAATAAGGTGAAACTGATGCCCTTCAGCAGAGTGAAGTATCCTCTAGCAATTCTACCATTTTAAGTAGCAACATTTTGGGACCACTACTGCTTGAGGTAAACATGCTATTTGTCAGTACAATATAGACTGTGAAGAATGATTTTTAGAGGAATTTTATTGATAGTTAATTTAGTAATTTCTTTAAAAAAGTGATACAATTTTCCAAATTCAAATTTATAAGAAGTAATTTCAGAAGGGTAACAACCTAAAATCTTTACTGGTATGGAACCTGTCTTGTATCAGTTATTGAGAATACATTTTATTTGAAATAATTTTCTGTTTTCCTTGTATTTTTTTGTCTGTTCAAACTTTCCTGAATAAAACTTGATTCCCAAGGTGCTTCTGCTGAACATTTGTTCTGAAACAAATATTCGCCTCTTCACACAGAATAGGTTCATTCCTCTGAGTTTGTGCAATCTGCCAAAGAGAGTTGCAAGTCACCAGCCTAGTGAAAACTCGCTCCTAATCTCAGGTGAATTTGTGTCACTGCGTGATGATCTAATCATGCAGCGGAACCCTCCACCGGTCGGAGTACAACACACCTCCATGCGCAGTGACTCCTCCTACATTCGTGCTCATGAATCCTCATGTGTTTGCTGAGATTTGCAACTTTTTCAATTTTCATGTTACACTTAATTGAGTTTTAACATACTCAATATAATAATGGCTGGAGACAGCTTGAGTGGGTAATGAAGAAAAACTTTAATATAAGTTT